TCATAGAAATTGCTCTTCCTCTCTCTCCTCAATCCATGTCTATGGTCTTTAAGATAACTTGTTATGTAAAATGATTTATTTATCTAAGATGCACCTACACTGAATTTATCTGAAAATAAAAAAGTTGATATTAAGAAAAAAATTGTAAATGGAAGATTATTAGAGAGGGTTTCACGTGCCAGCAAAAGTTACTGGCGTGCCATGTTTGGCACGCATGCCAGGGGTTACCCACCCCTGATATAACCTCTTTCAATAATCTTAGAACAATTTAAAAAAAAAAACTCCTCTAATTTGAAAAACCTCCCAGGGCAATATCTAAAAATACAGCTCTAAGTATTACCTGAAATTAAATCAGAATCCCCATAAATACATACATACAAATATACTTTGGTTGGTGTTACTCAGTGGTTGGGTGTGGTCTGAGCACCAAAGGGTCTTGGGTTCAATTCCCAGACAGGGGTGCATGCCTGTATGAAGACCAATGGAGAAAACATCCTTGGGTGAGGATTAACAAAAATAAATAAATAAATAGATAGATAGATAAGTAAATAGATAAATAGATAAGTAAATAAATATCTCAGTGAGTAGCTTGATCATTCTGTGCCTTTAACCATGCTCCTGAGACATTTTCTTCCAGATGAACTTTTCACTTGGAAGCAAAGGCATCCAGTTAAAGATTACATTTTTTGATGAGCACGTTGCTTTGCAGTTTTCTCTTCTGCATACCAAGCGCAGATTAATCCACTGCTCTCAGTATCAGTGCAGCAGCTATTACCACAGACATTTAGCGTGCCTATAAATGTTGGAAACAGAAATAACTATCTGTATGAAAATAATATGTGCTTCCTTGGGCGGAATACACTTTCAAAGGAAGCCAATGAGAGATAGTGCCTAGCCTTGAAGCCTGGGAGGGTAGCCACCCCCTTCCCTCAGGTTGTCCTTACCCAATCTACTGGCACCGAAGTTCATGGACTCCACAACAAATCGAAAACCAGACTCATGCAGCTATAAATCACACCGACTAAATTAGACAAGACTAGAATCAAAATTTGGAATTCATGTAAATGACTACAAATATCACTGACACCTCAAATCTTAACTGCTATTTAGAAAACAATTTTAAGGAAAAATAGAACAACTCTTAGTCCTTTATATTGTCATTTAATGTTCTGAAAAAGTGAAAAAATCTATGAGCAGTTCAGAGTTGCCTGATGGTTTCAGACATAAAAGTCTGCCTAAAGATTAATTTTATTGTCAACTTAAAATCAATTGTATCACTTAAAAAAACTAAATAAATTGTTCCTCTCATTATCAGGGCTGTAAAAAAGAAATAATTTCATATTCATTCTAACAACCATCACGGGGTTGCAGCAATGCCTGTGAAGATGAGCCCAAGAGGCGCATCCCCTTTGTTACAAGTTTGTGATTTTTCCGCGCCACCTTGTGGCCATAGTACAGCCACCGTGACACTTACAGGGTCCCACCCCACCCCCCCGCCAAGCTGCTCGGGCCTTTCGGTAGCCGCATCGCTAGAACCGGCCTCGGCACGAACTTGCCGAAAATGGTGTCCTTCCCCGTGACCACAGATGAGACACCGACTTGTCCATTTTCCCTCTTCCTCCCCTATTTTCTTTTTTAACATTTTTTATTGATTTTTAGAGGTCAGTTGGTTGGGCGTCCCCCCTACTTTCTTTATCCCTTAATTTCATGTCCGCGGGCCCGCCACCCACTGTCCCCTCGGGCTCAAATGACCAAGACTGCTGAATTTGCATCCATTTACCTGGAAAGTAAGACAAGCAAATTTTCGGTCAGTGAGAAATAAGGAGGTTTAAAATAGAATTTAGGTTTATATTTAGATAAATAGTTATATGTTTGCCAGCAGAGTTTGCAGCCTGAGAAATGTGCATGTACTACACCAAGATACTTTAAGAAAGCATCAGGAAGGTTACATATAGTCAACATATGGGTGCTGAGGGTCCCCTCAGGCAAAGCTGAAGCTATGTGTGGTAACACGCGCTGCTTTGGGAGCTCGAGGTCCGGGCTGCGCCCCTCGCGCCGCTCCCGGGTTGCCGGGCCCCCCTGTCTGCTGGGTGCGCGTTTACTTTCGTGCCCTGTCTGCTCGGAAGCCTTGGCCCCCACATGACACCTCCGGCGCTTCCCGGTGAGATTTTAGTAACTTCCAGCCAATTAGTGTCCGCTCCTCGAAATGAGCGCGGGAAGAGGAGATGGAAACAGAGGCAGAGCTTGGAAAATGGAGGAGTGTCTCTTTTAGGGGGATGGTCTTCTCTGTGTATCACCGATTCATCGGCTCAGCAAACGTTGACTGACAATCCACTTAAGAAATTATGTGAAGCCCTAACCGGTTTGGCTCAGTGGATAGAGCGTCGGCCTGTGGACTGAAGGGTCCCAGGTTCGATTCCGGTCAAGAGCATGTACCTGGGTTGCGGGCACATCAGTAGGGAGTGTGCAGGAGGCAGCTGATCGATGTTTCTAACTCTCTATCCCTCTCCTTTCCTCTCTGTAAAAAATCAAAATAAAATTTTTTTAAAAAAGAAGAGAAAAGACAGTATTCAATTTGCTTAAAAAAATAAATTATGTGAAAACAAAGACATGAGACTTGAAAAGAAGTTGCTTTTAGGATGACGGCGCTCTCTGTACTTTTGTGCACCAAATCCTTCGTCCAGCAGATGGTGATGAAGGGCGCACACAGTGTGTCCACTAGGCGCTGGAGATGGTGATGAGCAGAATCGAGCAGTCCCTGCCTCCACACATTGTATGGCTAGTGCCGGAGAAAACCTTAATTAAATTAATGCATTAGATATATTGAATGCCTCGTGTGTCTGGCACGATTCGCTATAAGCCCTGCAATAATAAAATTAGATAAAACCCTCTCAATCTCGAATTTTACATTTGACTAGGAGACGTTAGACCATAAACAGGTAAATAAAATGGGTGCCACATTGGATGCAGGACAGTTGGGCAGTGGTAGGGGATGCTGTAGTGTTGATATTTTGCCTAAATTTTTACATTATTGTATCTTCCTGTGAAGCCTATTCCCAACCCCTTAAATTTTTGTCATCACTTGAAATGTATCCTTTGTACTACCACCCAAAAGGAATTGTTTAATAAAAACACTTGTCATGCTAAAAACTGTTATGTGTTCCTCATCACTTAGACTAGAGCAGTGATTGGCAAACTGTAGCTAGCAAGCCACATGCGGCTCTGTGGCCCTTTGAGTGTGGCTCTTCCACAAAATACCACGTGCGGGCGCGCACGTACAGTGCAATTGAAACTTCGTGGCCCATGCGCAGAAGTCGGTATTTTGTGGAAGAGCCACACTCAAGGGGCCACAGAACCGCATGTGGCTCGCTGGACTAGAGGATCAACTTAATATAAGACACTTCTTGACCCTACCTGCCTCTCCAATTTAGTCATCCAGTAATCCCTGTCTTACTTAAGGTTCTAGAACAGGGAATGGCAAACCATGGCTTTGTTCCAATAAATTCTTATTTACGAATCCAGAAATTTAAATTTCATATATGCTATGAGGTATTTTTCTTTTTTCTTAACAATTTGAAAACGTACAAACCATTCTTACCTCGCCGGCCATAGAAAACAGGCATAGGCTAGATAGGGCCATGAGCCATAGTTTGCTAATCCTTTCTCTAAATTATGGAATGACTTGTTGTCCTCTGCATCCCACCCATCTCTATGTTTCATTACTGTATAGCTGCAGTGCCTCTGCCTCGCTAACTCCTGTACCTTCCTCACAGATCATGAGAGGGGCATAGGAAGAGTGTGTTTATGTGTGGAGGGGGAGTAGGTAGGAGTTTGCAAATCAAGAATCAGCTCTGAAGCCCTCTCCAAGAATCTTTCTCTTAATTTTTCTTTTCCCTGCTACCCACACCCAATCCTCGTTCTCCTATATCCTCAAAGCAACTTTTTTTGTATTTAGTACATCGTATTTCAGTTTTCTTAGATTCTAGTCTCATTTGAAAAACGTAAACATTTCTGGGCAAGAGCTGCCATGTCTTACTCATCTTCACATTCACGGTACCTCGCCCAGTGCCTGACACTAACTAGTAGGTGTGTGGTCAGTAATTGTTGGACCAAACAACCTAACCTGAACCACAGTAGTGGTAATGGGTATGGAGGGTGGGTATTAGGCTACAGAAACAGAAGAACCTAGTGACTGCTTACGTAGGGGACTGGGCAAAAGGGAAGGGAGGATTCCATGACTCCACATCTGGCTTGGGCAGTGGGGCAAATGGAAGGATGAATCTGGAACTTACATGAGAGGCCTTGGCTGGACACATGGTGTTTTATTTCATCAGCATATAGGGTTAGGAGGAACTTTTTTTTTCCAAATAGGATTTTTACAGTATGATATCTTAATTAATCTTCACAATGGCCTGTAAACAACTAACAGCATTTTTTAAAAAATATATTTTATTGATTTTTCACAGAGAGGAATGGAGAGAGATAGAGAGTCAGAAACATCGATGAGAGAGAAACATCGATCAGCCACCTCCTGCACATCCCCCACTGGGGATGTGCCCGCAACCCAGGTACACGCCCTCGACCAGAATCGAACCTGGGACCTTTCAGTCCGCAGGCGACGCTCTATCCACTGAGCCAAACCGGTTTCGGCAACTAACAGCATTTTACAAGTGAGCAAACTCAGGAGCTATAAGGTGGACCAGAAATTTGAAACCAGGTCTTTTTGTCTTTAAGCCATGTCCTCCCTCCCACCCCCACGCCTTTATTTATTTTTAGAGAGAGAGAAGGGAGAAGGGATACAGAGAGAAAAACATTGATGAGAGTGAAACATCATCAGTTGTCTGCCTCCTGCACGCCCTCTACTGGGGATGGAGCTCGCAGCTCGGGCATGTGTCCTGACCAGGAATGGAACCAGAGGCCTATTGGTTCCTGGGTGGATGCTCAAATGCTGAGCCACACAGGCCGGGGCAGCCAGGGCAGCCAAGTCCTTTTTACAATACCATGCCACTGCCTTTGCAGAGAGCTAGATTCTTAGTGATAGTAACTGCTGGACAGAAGTCAAGTAAAATGATATTAAAAGTGTCCTTAGTGTTGGGAAACTAAGAGATCATTTCCCCTCTAGGAGGGGGCACTGGAGGAAAACTGCATTTTATTGAGATGTGCTGTGGGGGGTTTGGAGATGGAGTATGGATCAGACTTTCAAGAAATATAGCCAAGGCAGAGACCAGAGAGCAGGAGGGAGGCAAAGTAAACGTTCCAGAGAACATTCGCTTAACAATTTAGAAGAAAGGATCGAAATTACTAGAAAACACCAAGATATTTAAATAATTTTGTGTTCATTGTGTTCTGTATTTCTTAGTATTGAGTGGTATGCTTTAACAAGTTTTAGATTATTCAAGATTTTAGATTATTATCTGCTTAGATATCTCAGGACACCAGAATCTCCTTGTAACATTTAGTTCTTATTTCCTTTTAGACTTTGATTAATTACTATTGTCAAGAGAGGTATTTCCATCACGTGCTGCTTGTTGCCAGTGAAGGAATTAAGAAGTATGGTAATGACGCCGTCTTCAGATTTTATCATGCCTATGGTACATTAATGGAAGGTACGGGAAAATATTAACCGTGCTGCACTGAATTCTTGTTTTGCACTAAGAATAATTTCTCACATCATAATTTTGACTTTCAGGTAAAACTCAAGAAGCTCTTCGAGAATTTGAGACTCTTAAAAATAAACCAGATGTATCACTTTGTTCTCTGCTTGCACTGATATACGCCCATAAAATGAGTCCTAATCCAGGTATAGTAGGACAATTTTTCCTACTCAATTTATTTTGTTTTTTTCTCAATTACCATAGCATTTAGTCTATATTACATATTATCTATAGGTACTATTTATATCATGTATGTTTTATCATCCCGACAAGATTGTAAGTTCATCAAGCAGAAGACATACGTATCTTACATTGCTTTCATATTCCTTATATCCTTTGGAAGAATTTTCATTTGTACATACGAGTTGTTTGAATTAACGTAAAGGTGAACATATATTAGCAGTTGTTAAGCAAACAAACAAAAAGAATAGCCCCAAACAGGTATGTGCATAAATTGCTCTGCAACAGCCAACTTTATAACCAGTTATGTTCAAATATATAGCTTTATACAGTGTATTTCTTCTGCTATATCTTAAGCTTCTTAAAGGCCTTTATGTCCCCAAGAGGGCTAATCCGTGGAAGATATTCAGTAAATTTTATTAAGTAATAGTTTGGAAAATATTATAGAAAAACTTTATGCAAAACCAGCAATTCAAATTGTGTGAACTGTCTTTATATATTTATTTATTTAATATTGTACATATAAGTTGTGATCCATAAGATCTTATATGATCTAGTTGAAAAAAGAAAATGTAAAAACCACCAATATTAAGGGTAAGGGATTAATGGGGGGAGAAAGGGGACCTAGGTAATACTTTCAAAGATAAAGATTTTTTAAAAACACCAAGATTAAATTCTAATGTTGCTATTAAATAAAATGATAAATAAAACAAATTAATCCCGAATTAATGGAAAATAGTATGTACTATTAATCCATAAGAGTAGCGTGGGAAAGCTTCGTGAAAGATAGGAACTTAATCTGGATCTTTGAAAGACACGGAGTATTTCAGGATAAAGCATATTTGTCAGACAGAAAAAATCCATGGGCAAACACATGGAATTGGTTCAGGATTCAACTCTTCCGTGGATCCCCTTTCTCTATGCCCCAGCAGGAGTTTTAAGCTGGAGCAGAGAAGTTTCATAGGAGAGCTGTAGTCAATAAGCCTTTAAAAAAATTAGTACAAAATATTTTCTTCCTAGAATCAAGTTTTCATTTAATTGATTGTTCCCAACAGTATTGATTCTGTTGGGAAGTGTGATTTTCGGGACACTAAAAGATGGAGGCAGAAATATTGCCGAGGGACACTTGAGTACTGACTCTACTTTTCACCATATGTGATGCTGAGTAGGCGTGAGCTCAGGAGGGGCCCAGAGGTTTGTCAGTAGTGCCTAGGAAAGGCCTGGATTGTTCCCGTACATCCTTCCTGAGTTCTGACGTAAGTCCTGAATATAAAAGGGCTGTGATGCAATAAGAACTTGAGCTGCGATGGGGCAAGAGCTAACTTTGTGCAGGTGGCGTCCCAGCTAACTGATGCCTCAATGGGGACCTGATGGGAATCTGGGCAGAAGACTACAGCTCCTGCTCCTGCAGGATGAGTTCTTTTCTGTCTCTGTATGGTGGCTCTTTAACAAACGTTTCTGAAGGGAGGTGGGCGGCAGGCAGAAGGAGTCTTCTTGCCAAGCAAGCTGTAGCCCACCGAAAATGATTGTATTTCCGAAAGTCATGAAGTGGTCCCTTGGTGATTCCACACTTCAATTTAAATTTCTGTCATTGGACTAAAAGAAAGGGTCACTTATCTTTCCTTGGAAGCCATGTTCAGAAAGGTAGAGGCGGTTAGAATCACTGCCCTCAACGTGGACATTTCCTTCTTCCTTATTGTATAACTGCTCCGCTTTGGTCCAGGATTTGGATCTAATGGACATTTGTGTCCTAAGCACATACTCACATATGATAGGTTTGATAGTAATGATTAGAGTTGTTAGAAGTAGACTATCTATTTAAGGGAGCAGTCAGGCAGTTATTAACCTATGTAAGGAGCAACCATTATACTACCTTTTACTGGCCTGTGACAGTAGCTGCCCATGTTGATATATTTTAGAAATGGATTAGGAATTGGGTAATTTAAATACAAGTCCTGGTTTGCCTCTAATAATTACATCATTTTAGAATCATTGCTAATTTTTCAAGTCTTATTTTAAAAGTTGCATGTATAGCCTTTATATCTTGGGGATGACGTAAACTGTAGAACTGTACATTACCCTGATCATTAACCACAGGCGGCTATTCAGCACGTGGACTTAGTTTGAGGAACCAAATTTTTAATTGAGTTCTAATTACTTTTAAGTTTTAAACTTGATTCAGCTATTAGAAGTTATGTTTAGAACAGTGATGGCGAACCTTTTGAGCTCGGCGTGTCAGCATTTTGAAAAACCCTGACTTAACTCTGGTGCCGTGTCACATATAGAAATTTTTTGATATTTGCAACCATAGTAAAACAAAGACTTATATTTTTGATATTTATTTTATGTATTTAAATGCCATTTAACAAAGAAAAATCAACCAAAAAAATGAGTTCCCATGTCACCTCTGACACGCGTGTCATAAGTTCGCCATCACTGGTTTAGAACAATGAGTGAATATACTTTTTCATAAATTTTATGAAATCAAAGTACAAATTAAGTATTTCTGGATAAAATTTAGGAACTTAATGAGAGATGTGTAAAAAATATATACCACATTTTAAAGATTCAGTAAGAAGAAAACAATCTCTGGTTTTCTTATCAAATTACAGGTGAAATAATTTGGATATACTGGACGAACTAATTTTACGTGTTTCTTTTTGCCTCGTTAATGTGGCTAATAGAAAATTTTAAGCTACATATGTGGATTGTATTTTATTTCTATTTGAGAGTTCTGCTATAGAGAGAACTTAATTCTCTCCCCTGTTAATCATCTGACCTATTATAAATACTTGGTCTAGAATTTAACTTTCATTTATGTCTTCTTTTTCCATTCCAGATAGAGAAGCTATTTTGGAATCAGATGCCAAAGTGAAGGAGCTACGTAAAGGAGCAGAACCGAGAGCTTTGTACCATGCAGGCTTATTTTTATGGCACATTGGTCGTCACGAGAAAGCGAGAGAGTACATTGACAGAATGATCAAAATGTCAGATGGTAGTAAAGAGGTAGCTGGTTTTCTTATTGTGAAATAGTGACATTAAAGGAAACATATTGTTTATATATTCAGCGATAACTGCTGTTTAATTCTTTGTTATTGCTCACTCTATTCTCACTTTATAAACACTAGCTTTACTTTAATATTTTATTATTTTGTAAAGTTATGGTTCTCAAAGGTGGTTTATTTTTATGCTGTTTATTAACTCTTGAAATGATCTCTCCCTGGTTCCCTTCCTTCCTTATTCCCTTCCTTCCTTCCCTCCCACTCTCCTTGTTGAACTTCTGTAGGTACAAGGCACCATTGTTTGCACTGTTAATAATACAAAGACAAGGAATGCATAAGCTTTACTGTCCTGAATGGATCATGTAGCAGTTGTCATAGGTCATATACCCAGCCAATATGTTGAGAGAGGTTGTGATTAAAGAGTGCAGGAAAATGATAGTTGACATTCATTGCTTGCTTGCTTTGTGCTAGGCACTATTTTAGGTACTTGAGGAAAGATAACATCTGTAAGTATTAGAATGAGAAAGAATTTCTTGCAGTAGCATTTGCACTAAAACCTGAAAAATGGATAGTTTCCATAGGCAAAGATTATGGAAAAGGGAAGTAGATACTCCCAAGATGGGAAGTAATAGATGGAAATGAGAAAAACAAGGAGACATATCGGTTCTGGGTACAGTGAGACTCTTCATATTTGATGGGAACATGGGGTACATAGAAGAAGAGGATGGAAGAAAAATGTGGAGATGTGGGTTGGGGCAAATTGAAGGATCTTGACAGTGAGATACAGTATTTGTATCTAATTCAATAGGCATTGAAAGACCATTAGTGGTTCTTAATCACTTCAGCGAGTACAGATTCAGAAGATTAGTTTAACATGCTGTATAGGGTGGACTGACCAGGGGGGAAACTAGAATGCAGCCAAAAGGGTACTGCTTTCTGGCCGAAGACTTTGAGGGCCGATACTAAAATACTATAGAGGGGGTACAAAGTTGCGAATTATTAAATATCCACAAGGCTTGTCAACTTATTGTAAACAAGAGGGGAAGATACTGAAGATATCTCTGAGGTTTTAAGATTGGACAATTCAGAGACCAGTTAACATAAATGGAAACTATGTTGAATTAAGAAGGTAATCTTAAAGAGAGATGTGTTTAGCTGAAGACATGCTATATTCCAGGCTCTGGAGAACAGTGGAATAGAGATAGTAGATGAGCTGTTGGAAAAAGAAAATATTAAAAGAGGTACTGGACTGCAAGTAAAGCTTGGGAATTATCCACCCAGAGATAGTAGTTGAAACAATTCAAATAAGCACACTGATCAAGTGAGTAGAAATAGCACTGTTTGAGTAGTATTAGCTGTCTTTTCAGGTGAAATACAGAGAGCTAAATATAATCTCAGTTAAAGATTTATAAGTTTATGAAGTAACCTATAATTTTTTGTGTTAATCCTCACCCGAGGATATTTTTCCATTGATTTTTAGAAAGAGTGGAAGGATGGGTAGGGGGAAAGAGGAGTAGAGAGAGACAGAGACGGAGACAGAGAAAAACACCTATGTGAGAGAGACATTGATTGGTTACCACAGCCAGGTATCGAACCTGCAACCCAGATACATGCCCTTGACTGGGAATTCAACCTGAGACCCTTCAGTGCAGGGGCTGATGCTCTAACCCAGGGGTGGGGAACATCCAGCTCTTGGGCCGTATATGGCCTGCAAAATCATTTGGCCTGGCCCTGCCAAGGCATTAGGAGTAAATTAATTAAATCTTTGGCCAAATATAGAGGGCTAATTTTTAAGTTGGTAACTTTGTATGTCCGGATAATGATGCTATAAATATTCAAATGACCCTTGGCAGAGAAAGGGTTTGCTACTCCAGCTCTAACCTAACCATTTAGCCACACCAGCCATGGACTATACATCTGATAGAAGAGCAGATTTCATAATTTTTTTTTGAAATTAAAAAGAAAAATATTCGACCTATGTCTATCTTCTTTTCAACACTATAAATCTTGCAACCCATTGGCTCACCAACATTTCTGAAGGTAAACATCCATGACTTCTTCAGTTTGTAATTTCTTGGACCACATATGCTTGCATTTGAAACTCACTGGACTAGTCATATATTAAAGAAAACATTGCCACATTATCTTAGTTTTTAATGTATGTGAAGCCTGTTTTTCCATCTTAGTTCATTTAGTCTGCTCAAAAAGAGGTCACAAATTCTTATTTATGTCTCAAATTACATATTTAACTGTTATTAATAACAATTTGCTGGCAAAATCGCAGATAAGAATATTGATTATTGCCGAAACCGGTTTGGCTCAGTGGATTGAGCGTCGGCTTGCGGACTGAAAGGTCCCAGGTTCGATTCCAGTCAAGGGCATGTACCTGGGTTGCGGGTATATCCCCAGTAGGAGATGTGCAGGAGGCAGCTGATCGATGTTCCTCTCTCATCGATGTTTCTAACTCTCTATCTCTCTCTCTTCCTCTCTGTAAAAAATCAATAAAATATATTAAAAAAAGAATATTGATTATTTAGCGTTAATGGACTTTTTGATAAGCTTCTTCATATTAATATTGAGCAGAGTAGTAAGGCTGAAATTCTTAATACTTTCCCATACTCTAGGCCGGCAACAGTTAGAAAGCATTTTTACTGCACAGTTTTATTGTTCATAATATTATTTAATAGAGTGATTTTTGTTATTAATTACCAAAAAGAAAAGACATTAGGTTTACTTCTTTGACCCATTTTTCCCCCAAAGAAATGGAAGTATAATTAGAATTTTTCATTTTACAGGGACAGATCTTGAGAGCATGGCTTGATATTACAAGAGGAAAAGAACCGTATACTAAAAGAGCACTAAGATCTTTTGAAGAGGGATTACAAAATGGAAATGATATTTTTGCTCTGCTGGGTAAGGTGAGTTGGAGTTAGGTAAAAAAATCATGTTTTAAAATTTATTCATAATATAGTTGAAACCCAACAAAACTAAGTGCATCAAAAATAATTTTCATGTTACTTTTATCAACTCTCAATTGTAGAAGGGACTTATGTTTATATAGGACAATGAGCAGTAAACTAGAGAAATGTGTTCCCTGCCAAATTCTTCAATCCTAGGTCAGTTTTAATAGTGTGTGTTTTTTGTTATTGGTGTTGGTGGTTGTGGTTCCTGTGTTATTTATTCACCAAACATTTACACCCTGTCTAATATATGTGAGATATCACTCTAGATATTGGGGATACTCGGGACACTTCAGTTGCAGGCCGACACTCTGTCCACTGAGCCAAACCGGTCTGGGCAGATTCCATTCATTTTTATGGCCAAGTAATATTCCATTGTATGTATAAACCACAACTTTTTTATCCACTTGTTTATTGATGGGCACTTGGATTACTTCAATATCTTGGCTATACATAAGTAACTCTGCAGTGAACATACAGGTGCATATATTCCTTTGAATTATAGTCAAACCTTAGTTCTCGAATATCTCCTGTTTTTCCACAATTCGGATCTTGACCCAACAACTTTTTCATGCTGATTCTTATAGAATTAGTCAGGCATCTCTCAGGTGACAAACAAAGGAGAGAATGTGTGAGTATGAGTCAGTTTATCATTATACCTCATATTGTTAACATCTCAGGAAATTATGCTGTGAATATTTCTAATGGGGGAAAAATGATTCAGTTTTCAACCAAATTGCTTCTCAAACAGCCTTCCGGAACAAATTAAGTTCTAGAATCGAGGGTCCACTGTAGTGTTTTGGGTTTTTTCAGATATATATCTGGAAATGAAATTGCTGCCTCATAAGGCAGTTCCATATTTAATTTTTTGAGAAACTTCCATACGATTTTCCACAATGGTTACACCAATCTGCATTCCTACCAACAGTGCAAGAGGGTTCACTTTTCTCCACATCCTCCCCAACACTTGTCTGTTGATTTATTGATGATAACCATTCTGACAGGTGTGAGGTGATATCTCATTGTAATTTTAATTTGCATTTCTCTGATGATTAGTAAAGTTGAGCGTCTTTTCATCTGTCTATTGCCCATCTCTTTGTCCTCTTTGGAAAAGTGTCTACGTATTTAAGTCCTTTGCCCATTTTTTTATTTGATTGTTTTTTTTGGTGTTTAGTTGTATGGGTTCTTTATAAATTTTGGACATTAACCCCTTATCAGATGTTTCATTGGCAAATATGTTCTTCCATTCAGTAGGTTGTCTTTTCATTTTGTTGATGACTTTCTTTGCTGTTATTTTGCTTATTCTTTAAAATCTTTTCTTTATCTTGAAAATATTTTTTAAAGGTACAAAATATCTTAGTTTTAGTTGCTGCTTGTGAATACACAGGAAATATTTTATTCTAAAAGGAAACATTATTTTATGGTGTTTCTAAAAACATTTTTAACATTAATTGTATTTCTTAAGTATTTAAAAGTGGAATTTAAAACTTTTATTCTTCTGTGATGTTTTAAACTTTTGTTTTGATAAAAACTATTTTTTTCTTATTATAAAAGTGATCACTTCCTTACGGAAAGGTCAGAGAACAAAAATATAAAAAATGCTAAACACTAGTTTTCTCCCGACTTCGGGATAACTGTTGTGAGAACCTTGGTATATATGATCACAGATTTGATGCCACTTCTTTTTTCTCCCATTAGGCACAATGCCTTGAGATGCGCCAGAATTATTTAGGTGCTTTGGAGACTGTGAACCAAGTAATTGTGAACTTTCCAAGTTTCCTCCCTGCTTTGGAACAGAAAATGAAACTACAGCTGGCCTTGCAAGATTGGGACCAGGCGATTGAGATTGTGCAGAGGTAAAGTACAAAAAGGTGACACCCACCCCAACCTTTGGATCTGGTTTTAATTTTGAGAAAAAATAAAATCTGCACATAATTTTTTATCATAGGATTTTTTAAATTTGATTTTTCCAAAAATACGGAATGGAAAAGTTTAATATTGCATTGTTTAAAGCTGAATTGATTGGTTTACATACATATCTGACTAGCTGTTCTAAGACAGACTTTTTTTTTTTTTTTTTTTGCAAACAAATACCCCTGACCTCATGAAGCTTATATTCAAATGAGAGGAACCATATGATAAACAGAACAAATAAGAAATTTTGTAGTGGTATGTTCGAAAGTTTAAGTGCTATGGGGAAAAGATAAAGCCACAGCTGGAAAGTAAAATGGGGAGTGGGGGTGAGGGAGTGGATTTTATGGGAATGGCAAGGGAAGGCCTCACTGAGAAGGTGGCATTTGAGCAAAGGAAATAAGCAATGTGGCTATCCAGGAAAAACTTTGCAGGAAGGAAAAGCAAGTGCGAACACCTTGAGGCCAGAGTATGTGTCCTATGTTTAAGGAATGGGAAGGAGTAAAATGACTAGGAGTGAAGTCCCAGCAGAAAGGTGGGAGGGAGCAGGGTGCCAGGTTGTGAACATATGTAAGTTTATTTCGACAAAATGTTTTTCCGCAGGTTAATGCTTCAAGACAAACAAAATGTAGAAGCACTAAGAATGCTGGCTCTTTACTATTTGTGTAGGGAGGGGGATATAGAGAAGGTAAGTTGCATTGTGCTAATGAAGTTTCCTGTATTAATAATACAGGAAGCACTCTTTTAGAATGTATGTCACTGTAGTTTTTAGTTGATTCTTGAAAATACACTTTAACAAAGAGGTGAGCTTCTTAATTCAGCTAGTAAAGTATAAACAGTATGTAGTCAACATTAACACTGAAAATTCCTTTGATCATTAATTATGGTATATGTGGTTTTTCTATATAAAACTCCCATGCAATAATATGTTTGATTAATGTAACTGGTGATACTGGGTATGGAAGAGTACATAGAAAAAATATAATTTATAATATTTTTAAATTTTATTTAAGGTTACATAGGCTTAGGATAAAATCCCATTGGACCTTACAGTAAGGTAACATGTTTCTCTAGTAGTGAGCATATTGACTATGTACTAGATTACAGAATATCATCATCCAGTCTTAAGTAAATAGTATTATAAAAAGTAGTAGATTTGGATTGTGTTGAGTTTGGTTAAATTAGTTAATATGACAGTGCCTAATAGGTACTTTAGTAAATATTAAAAGAATTTTAGTAGAGGCAACTATTCAGTAAATATTCTGGGCATTGAAATTATTTATACTAAGTATCTTAGTGATTTTTCTATTCTAGATCATTTTAAATATAAACCAGGCTATATATGTAATCCAAGGGCTGATCTTATATAACATTAGTAAATAATGTTGTATATATGTTTGTAAATATGTTGTTATTCATATCTCATTTGTGTCATGGATTCATTATTTTAGAGGGAGCTTGGCATGTACAGTTAATTGAATATTATAGGTATCTTTATCTACCCAAAGGTTCCTACTCAGTAACAAATATTTAAAAAATACATTCTAAAACTCTGATCTTTATTGATAATTAATTATGGAGCTTTTTAAAAGAAGTTTTTTTAAAAATATATATATTTTATTGATTTTTTACAGAGAGGAAGGGAGAGGGATAGAGAGTTAGAAACATCCACGAGAGAGAAACATGGATCAGCTGCCTCCTTCACACCCCCTACTGGGGATGTGCCTGCAACCAAGGTACATGTCCTTGACCAGAATCGAACCTGACTCTTCAGTCCACAGGCCGACGCTCTAGCCACTGAGCCAAACTGGTCAGGGCTAAAAGAAGTTTTAATACATCTTGCAACATACAAGATTTTATTGGAAGAGGGAGGAATTAGTAAAAGCAAATATCTTTTTAAACAATAATAGTATTTATTAGTCTATATGTCATATATTATGTTCTTTATTTCTTAGTTTATTTTAAAATTATACTGCGTACTTTTGTTTTAGGCTGCAACCACACTGGAAAACTTGGAAAATGCATTGGATGCTATGGAACCACAGAATGCTCAACTTTTTTATAAGATTACCATTGCCTTCAGCAGAACTGTAAGAGGGTCCACTATGTACCATAGCTCTGTTATCTACAGCTGGAAATAGAAAATAAGTCACCAAGGCTGAGGCACCAAAGAGCATATGGCCTAGAGTGAAAATATGATATGTGTATAATTATGTGATATATTCCTAAGAAGGGCAGTCCAGAGGAGATACGGTTCCAACTGTAAAAAGCCATCATGGAGGCTTCATGGAGCAAGTGGCATTTTTTGAACCTTTAAAGAGAGGGAAGTGCCTTCTAGGCAAAGGAAATAAGTGCATAGGATTTATGAGTAGGAATGTTCTTTGTTTTGTATTTTTAAAATATTTGAAAAACGTTTTAATGTGTGTAATAGACTATTTTGGTAGGGGAAATGGCTGGTATCTTACTTTTTTTTATATAATATTAAAAAAATGTTCGCATTACACGTTCACAATTTTAAAAAGGTAATCAGGAATGGATTAAAAAAATTAGCAGAATCTTGAAATCAATACCTGAAATGAGTGGATTAAAAAGTTAAGTAAGCTAGGAAAAAGGCACACATGAGTAAGTAAAATAATTAGTAAATATAAAGTTGAAAGAAAAAATCAAGGGTGTTGTTAAGTGACATAAATAAACTGAATTTTCTCATTTACAAACAAAGATTGTCTGTGTGAAGTTTAGAGAAAAACAAATTCTGCTATTATAAAAGTTTAAGTTAAGGAGGGTATATTTATCCTTTTTATTTGCCTGTTGCCAAATACCTGATTAGTTTACAAAAATTCAAACAGTTTAGTATTATACTCGTAAAAGTTGTTGTCTTCAAGTGTTACATACTTACTCTAGCAACATTGTCATTTCTTGAAATATTTCTGAAGCTTTTTAAAAAGATTCTAAGGCATAATCTTTTAAAATAGTCTCAGTGGTGCCACCCTTGTCTTTAGGGGGAAAGCCCTACATTTTTTTTCCATTAAAAATATATATGTAAACTTAAAGCAATAACTTCATTGTCTACTTTGTAAAACAACCGTACCACAGTTTGAAAAGAGGTCTAGAATATCTTTGTATGGCAACATCATTAGGAGTTTACTTTTCAAGGTAGCTGTCTTTAAAAACACTACTCAGGATATATAAGTTCTCAGAGGATATAAACTCTTTCTTGCTGTTCTGCCTAGATAGTAAATAGAGAAGTTTTATTTTTCTTGGTTACTAATTAATTGTTTCTTTGCATTTTTGCTTCTGCAAAATACAAGTAACATATATGTATGTTTAGAAAAACAATCCTTTTGACTGAATAGAAGTGTTCTAGTTCAACTAAATCTTTTCTTTTTAGTGTGGACGTAATCAACTCATTCTTGAAAAAGTTCAAACATTACTAGAAAGAGCTTTCAGCTTAACCCCTCAGCAATCAGAATATGCTACAGAACTTGGATACCTAATGCTTTTACAAGAAAAAGTTAAGGAAGCATGGAAGTGGTATCAGATTGCCATAAATCTTGAAGAAACTAGTATCACTGCAGTGATTGGTATGACCGCTATTTCTATAAATGTTCTTCATAGAGATGCATTTTCATACCTGCCATTAAAAATGTTTTTGTGATTTTCTAAAATTAAACAATTCTCCACTATCCCCAACAGAAAAAAAATCATATATCTTTAAAAATAATTTTTTCATAATTAATATCTTGAGAGAGTAGGTTTTTATGGGATAGTTACTATACTAGTATATTATGAATTCCATCATAACAGATTTTATGTGAGTACCAGGCCACCCATTTTCTTTCACCTTTTTTTTAATATAAAATTTTCATGTATTATTGGTGAGGAAATCCATGTTTTATTAATGTTGTTGGTGTTAGCTTAAAGTTTGCATGCCTAAAACCAGATATGCAAACTTTGTTTCTGTTCTCTTTGGTTTTAGGATGTATCCGATGTCAATTGATAGAAGGGCAATTACAGGAAGCAGATCAGCAGCTCGAATTCCTTAGTGAAATTCAGCAGTCTTTTGGAAAATATGCGGTACAGTATTTTATTTTGTTAGCTATTAGGTCCCAGCTACTATTTATAAAATATGAAATTTTAAATTGTCTTATTTAGTAATAGCTTTAAAGGAGTAATATACACCAATTTTAATATGTAACTTCATTTATGAATTTAACTCCATGAAAAATTAGACTTTAAATATTCTCCCATAAGATTCTAAAAATCTAAGCTAAAACTTAAGTATGAATAAATATTTAACATCAAGAGCACTTCTTATCCATTTGAAATCTAAATAGAAAGAAATGCCTTTATAACTGAATGGAGTGATTTATAAAAACTACTGATTTTTCAGGAATTAACTTATTTACAAGCAATTCTTGCTATAAAGAAAAATAAACGACAAGAAGAAGTTATTAACTTGTTAAATGATGCCTTGGACACTCATTTTTCACAATTACAAGATTTACCTTTTGGCATACAGTATTTTGAGAAGTTAAATCCTGATTTCTTGCTAGAAATCATTACAGACTATCTGAATTACTGTCCATTGCAAGTAAGTAATTTGGGGACTTTGTGGGGGGATAGAGGGTGACTATTAAATTTATTGCAATCACATTGGTTAATAAAATTATCTAGGTTTCAATTGACACATCATCTGCATATTGTATTGTGTGTTCACTGCCCAAAGTCAAGTCTCCTGTCATTCTGAGCCCCCTTTCCCCTCTTCTGCCTCCCTCAGCCCCCTTTCCGTCTGGTAATCACAATACCAATGTCTGTGTCTGAGTTTTGTGTGTGTGTTTTTTCCTTAATCCCTCATCTATTTCACCTGGCACGCTAATACCGCCTTCGGAAGCTGTCAGTTTGTTCTCCGTATCTGTGAGTCCGTGTCTGTGAGTCTGTATAAGTGAAATCATATGGTATTTGTCTTTCTCTGACTGGCTTATTCCAGGTCCATCCATGCTGTTGTAAGGGGTAAGATTTTCTTCTCTTTTTTATGACTGAATAGTATTCCATTGTGTAAATGTAACACAGCTTTTTTTACCTACTATCTACTGATGGGCACTTGGGCTCCTTGCAAATCTTGGCTATTGTAAATAGTGCTGCAATGAACATAGGGAGCATATATTCTTTCAAATCAAGAATTTTGAGTTCTGATATAGTCTCAGAAGTATATTCACTGGGTCATAAGGCAGTTCCATTTTTAAGTTTTTGAGGAAACTCCGTACTGTTTTCCGTAGAGGCTGCACCAGTCTGCATTTCCACCAATAGTGCACTAGGGTTCCCTTTTCTCCACATCCTTGCCAACACTTGTTGTTGATTTACTAATGACAGCCATTCTTTCAGGTATTAGGTGATATCTCATTGTGATTTTAATTTGTATATCCATAATTATTAGTGATATTGAGCATCTGTTCATACGTCTATTGGCTATCTGTATGACCCTTGAGAGAATTGTCTGTTCAGGTCCTTTGCCCATACTACCTGACATCAAACTATACTACAAGGCCATAGTAATCAAAACAGCAGAGTTCTGGCATAAAAACAGCCATATAGATCAATGGAACAGAACAGAGAGCCTAAAAATAAACCACACCTATATGGTCATTAATATTTGACAAAGGAGGCAAGAATATACAATGAGGTAAACACCATCTATTCAATAAATAGTAGTGGGAAAATGGAACAGATATGTGAAAAAACATAAAACGACCACCTTTTTATACCATATACAAGCATAAACTCATAATGGATGCAAGACTTAAATGTAAGGCTTGAAACTAAAAATCCTAGAAGAAAACAAGCAGTAAAATGTCAACCATTTCCTGTAGCAATATCTTTTCTGATATATCTCCTCGTGCTTATTGAAGACGTTTACTCATTGTATATTCTTGCCTCCTTTGTTGTAAATTTAATTGATTATATATGTGGGTTTATTTCTAGGCTCTTTATTCTGTTCCATTGGCCTATGTTTCTCTTTTTGTGCCAGTATTATACATGTTTTTATCATAATAGCTTTGTAGTATAGTTTGAAATAAGGGAGAGTGAGGTTTCCAACTTCCATTTCATTTACTTCTGCTGTGGTCTTTATTGTTTTTTCTTCCTTCTACTAACTTTGGGCTGTTCTCTCCAGTTTTTCTCTTATAATTCGTTTTTATTTTTATTCTGTTGTGGTTGGAAAAGTTACCTGACATGATTTCAGTGTTAAGCTTTGTGACCTAATATGTATTCTAGCGTGGAGAATGTTCATGTGCACTTAAAAAGAACACACATTCTGTCTAGCCAGTTTGGCTCAGTGGATAGAGCATCAGCCAGCAGACTGAAGGACCCCACGTTTGATTCTGGTCAAGGGCATGTACTTCAGGTTCAGGCTTGATCCCAGGCCTTGGTCAGGCTTTAAGTGGGAGACAACTAATTGATGTGTCTCTCTCACATTGATGTTTCTCTCTATGTCTCTCCTCCCTTTCTCTCTCTCTCTCTCTCTCTCTCTCTCAAAAATAAAAGAATGCAATATTCTGTTTGAGGATAGAATGTTTTGTGCACACCTATTAAGTCTGTCTAGTCTGTCACCTAAGGCCAATATTTCCTTTTCGATTTTTTAAAATATATTTTATTGATTTTTTACAGAGAGGAAGGGAGAGGGATAGAGAGTTAGAAACATCAATGAGAGAGAACCATCCATCAGCTGCCTCCTGCACACCTCCCACTGGGGATGTGCCCGCAACCCAGGTACATGTCCTTGACCGGAATTGAACCTGGGACCTTTCAGCCCGCAGGCCGATGCTTTATCCCCTGAGCTAAGTGGGAGACAACTAATTGATGTGTCTCTCTCACATTGATGTTTCTCTCTATGTCTCTCCTCCCTTTCTCTCTCTCTCTCTCTCTCTCTCTCTCAAAAATAAAAGAATGCAATATTCTGTTTGAGGATAGAATGTTTTGTGCACACCTATTAAGTCTGTCTAGTCTGTCACCTAAGGCCAGTATTTCCTTTTCGATTTTTTAAAATATATTTTATTGATTTTTTACAGAGAGGAAGGGAGAGGGATAGAGAGTTAGAAACATCAATGAGAGAGAAACATCCATCAGCTGCCTCCTGCACACCTCCCACTGGGGATGTGCCCGCAACCCAGGTACATGTCCTTGACCGGAATTGAACCTGGGACCTTTCAGCCCGCAGGCCGATGCTTTATCCCCTGAGCTAAACCGGTTGCAGGGGTGGGCAAACTTTTTGACTCCAGGACCACAATGGGTTCTTAAACTGGACCGGAGGGCTGGAACCAAAGCATGGATGGAGTGTTTGTGTGAACTAATATAAATTCAAAGTAGACATCATTACATAAAAGGGTACGGTCTTTTTTTTTTTTTTAGTTTTATTCATTTCAAACAGGCCGGATCCGGCCTGCGGGCCGTAGTTTGCCCACGGCTGGGTTAGGGCCTTTCCTTTTCGATTTTATGTAAATGATCTATCCATTGATGGAAGTGGGCTTAAGTCCCCTATTACTATTAAGAACCACCTTTACTATATATTTGCCTTTACTAGTGAGATTTTTTATGTGTGTGAATGCATTTTTGGCTTTTTCTTTTTCATTTAAAGAGTTCCCTTTAACATTTCTTGTAAGGCCAGTTTAGTGGTAATAAACTCCTTTAGCTTTTGCTTGTCTGGAAATTCTTTAGCTCTTCCACAATTCTGAATGATAACCTTGCCCATATTCTTGGTTGTAGGTTTTCCCTTTCATCATATTAATGTATCCCACTACTCCCTTTTGGCCTGCAAAGTTTCTGTTGAAAATCAGCTGATAGTCTTATGGGTATTCCCTTGTACATAACTAGTTGTTTTCTCTTGCTGTTTTAAGATTCTCTCTTTAACTTTTAACATTTTAATTATGATGTGTTTTGGTACGGATCTCTTTGAATTCATCACTGTGCTTCTTGGAATTGGATGTCTATTTCCTTCACCAGGTTAGGGAATTTTTCAGCCATTATTTCTTCAGATAGGTTTTCTGTCCTTTTCTCTCTCTTTTCCTTCTGGAACTCCTATGTTAGGAATGTTAGTATACTTGATTTTGTCCCAGAGGTCTCTTATGCTTTATGCTATCCTCATTCTTTTAACTTTTTAAAATATCTTCCAGTTGGGTGATTTTCACTACCCTGTCTTTCGGATTGCTGATCTATCCTTCTTTGTCATCTAATCTGTTGTTTCCTCTAGTGTATTTTTTATTTATATATTAAATAAATAATATATATTTTATTTATATTATTCAGTTTTTATTGGTTCTTTTTTTACAGTTTTATATCTTTATAGAAGTTCTCCACCTGTCTGCAGAGTTTGATGAGCATTTTTATGACTATTACTTTGAACTCTTTATTTAGTAGACAGTTTGCTTTTGTTTTGTTCTTTTTCTGTTTTTGTTTTTTTGTTTATTTGCTTGTAACATATTCTTTTCTCTCCTCAGTTTGCCTGTTTGTTTCTTATGTATTTGGTAGATCAGCTACATTCCCTGGTTTTGTAAAAGTGGCCTTATTTAGAAGGTGTTCTGTGGGGCCTAGTGGTGGAATGCCCCCTAGTCACTAGAACCAGATGCTCCAGAGGTGTTCCCTGTCTGGACTACTGTGGCTTCTTCTTGTGGTTGGGCTACAGCTGCTAAGGACACACTGGCAGGTGAGACTGGCCTCTGGCCCAGCCTCAGCTGTTGCAGGCACACTGCTGTGTGCTGGTGCCAACTGAGTCTGCCCACTGGGTGTGGCAGAGTAAGAGCCGCATTGGAGGGATGCCAGTGGTGGGTCCTTAGTTAAATGCCAGGGTGGAATGAAATGTTAACAAGGTTAATAGAGAATGTCAGAAATGGTGCCTGCCAGTATCAGACCAGCTAGATGAAAGGAAAATAAGAAAGGGGGAAAAATTGTGCCCACCATGTTCTGTCCCTGGAAAAAGTTCCAACAGCTCTCTGTCTGTTCAGCACACACCTTAAAATTAGTCAGTATATCACCTTCATGTATGACTCAGGTGCTTTTCAAACTGTTCCCTCCTCACTTGGACTCAGAAAGTGTGCCACCTTGGTTTCCTACAGCCCTTTGGCTTTCCCAAATGTAAGCCCTGTTGATTTTTAAAGCCAGATATTATGGGGGCTCCTCTTCTTGGTGCAGGTGCCCAGGCTGGGGCTCAGACCCCTTGTTCTTCAGAGGGATATCTCTCCAACTCGTGGGTCACTGCGTAGGGTGTAGGGGGTAGAGTGGATCCTGACTAGATGAAGTCTCTCTGCCCCCTCCTACCTGTCTCAGTGCGGCTTCTTCTTTATATCTGTAGTTGTAGAAAATCTGTTCTGCTAGTCTGTAGGTTGTTTTCAGAGATAGCTGTTCTATACAGAGTTGATATCAATGAGAGGAGATGAGCTTAGGATCTTCCTACTCCACCATCTTGAACCCGAAGCTGGGAATCTTGGTTTGAATGCCAATTAAGCCTGTCCTCGAAATGTTGTTCCTTGCAGTTGATGCTAGTCATTTATTTTTTTATGACAAGTTTGAGAACCCTAGTTGTGACTTAGAGGATTCCTTTGTTTTGTCAGTGCCTCTCATTATGCCCACTATTCCACATAAGGATTTGGACTGCAAGACCTAGATTAGATCCTTTTCCTCCCAATTCTGGATTTCCACCCAGGTTTCTTTTTTGTGAATCATGTAACAGTCATTAGATCCTCTACTCACTGTAACTTTGGACCCCAGTATAGGACTCTACATTTATCCCTATGAAATTTTATCTCCATGATTCATTCCATAATTCAAGATGACATAGCCTTCTAGATCCTGAATATCATCTATTTTGTATGGATCTTATTGTCACCCATCATCTGCCTTAAATAGCTCTGAATAGAACTGAGATGGAACCCTCCGATTTATTACCAGAGAGTTTATTACAAATTAGCATGGATCCATTACTCACGCTTATTTGTTATAGATAATAAGTGGATGGATGGCTTAATTATACTCAACTCACAAAGCAACACAGGGAAATCATGATGGGCACTATCTTCATTGCTAAAAGCGTAGTTCTTAGCATTTTCCCTGATCTATGGCTTGTTAAACAACCAGGGTTGTTTAACAAGGAAATGAGAATAATGAACTTTCCTTGGGGAACCCATGCTGCTTTTTATTGATTGTTACTTCCTTTTCCACACTTTCATAATCTATTTTTTTAAGTATCCACTCTAGAATCACACATGGGATTGATCTCATCTCCCCAGTCATGATCTTAGAGTCTAATGCACTTCTCAATACTCATGCAATATTCAGAATTCACTCAACAAATGCTTGCAGAGCATCCAGCACTCTGTTCAGAGTTAGGGAAATAGTGGTTTAAAAGCAAACTACAACCTTTGATCTCTTGAGGCATGTATACTATTAGGAGAAGACAGCTAATAGAATCAATAGGTTATATAGTATTTTAAAAGATCATAGAAGAAAATAACAGGGTAGGGAGGAGTGATTTTAGATAACATGATCGGGATAGGCCTTATTAAGATGGTAAAATCTGAACAAAAACTTGAAAGGATCATGTGGAAATTTGGTATAGAGTGTTTCAGACAAAGGGAATAGTTGTTCAGTGGCCCAGAGGGACACAAGGAGGTGAGTATGGCTGGGATAGATGAGGAGGAGAGGAGTTGTCAGAAAGAGGTCATAGCACAGGAGACCAGCTGTAACAACTCTGACTTCAATTCTGTCTGTAACTTCTTTGGCTTCAGTTCTGAGTACAGTGGGAATCCATGAGAAGGTTTCTGGCATGGCCATATTCAACATTTTTAAAGGATTTTTCTAGCAGCTGTGCTGAGAGTAAACTGTAGGTGGAGTAAGAAATAATTAAGTGGTAGTTGGCTCCCTAGTCCACAGACATCCTATTTTTTCATAATAACTTCTATCGGCGTGATAGAATCTAATCAGCACTTATAATGCTGTTTTCATGGGGAAATATCAGAAAGGCAGACTTGTCTCTCTAGCTCTGTTCCTAATTCTTTGGCCCTTTTATATATACTTTTTTTTTTAATCAAATAGTTGTTATCTTAGAGATTATCCACAAAAGTTCTGTTTGGGGTTTTTTTTTCTGATTCATTCTGCAACTATAGTGAAAACAATGCTTATTCTCAATAACTAATTCTTAGCAAGTGGCAAAGAACATTATCAGAACCTCACCATATCACCTATACTTTCATTATTTCCAGTTGTGCTGAAAACATATGCTTTAAGAAATTTATTCTGTATCCATTACTGTGTGAAGACGTGTAAAATTCTGATATTCAAGACCTAAAGACCCTTCATCCTATAAAAGAGGAAAAACTAAATATGAAACTACTGTAGAAATGTTATAAGATATAAAATGCTAAGTTTTATTTCATAGATTACAAGTGCTATAGGAATTTCAAGAAGTTGAAGTATTCTAAACATCTGTGGTCATATTCTGAAAATGCTTTTGAGCACACATTTTTGTGTGCTTCAACATAGTGAGAAAATGGGACACCTTTTTTGTCAGTAACAATTGCTTGTTGTAGGAGTGATAGTCAGTTAAGAGGCCATACTCCAGTTAAGAATGTATACGTGTGGGATATAAGGGGCAATGTGGAGGGCCATCCTTTAAGTAAAGGGATAGGGCAAAGCAGGGAGAATATTTGATATTTAGATTCTGAGATCACATTCTAAGTTGTGAGTGGATAACCACTGAATAAAGATTGGTTGAGTAGGCAACCATTGAAAGAATAAGCAAATGGCTTAGTACTTCTTTAGTTACAATATTCATTATTAATAAAAATGAAAAAAGGTTGAAGGCCTATAACATGCTAGGCAGAAAAGAGGGAATATGAAAATATGATCATTTGGTGGAGTACACATGAGTGTATTCTGCCTTCTGATTCTACTAGAAAACACAATCTGAATCCTCTAAAAACTGACCATACATTACTCTCGGGGGTAGTGTGAATTATTGAATTGAATAAATCACGGGTAAGGTTTAAAATTAGAACTCACATGGCCTTGATTCCAACAAGAAGCACTACCTCTTGGTTATTTTTCCTTTGAACAGATATGTACCTTTCATATGTTATTGAATGAGTAATTGTATTATTAATAATTATTTGCCTGAACAAAGCCATTATTTATATAGTCTCTTCATAGGTCTAAGGAAAATAAATTGGTATTCATCTAGTCATAGCAAAGATATTGGACAATAAATAGAATAAGAAAAATTTTAGAAAAGTATAATGGTTTTGGCATTCACATTATAATTAATATTTATTATTAGCTAATAAATATATTATAAATTATAAATTAATATAATTAATGCTTATTATTAGCTAAATTCCATTATAAACTTATAAAATGACCTGCTAATTTGTTTTGTTTAGCCTGCAAGTCCTGGCCAACCTCTTTCTCCACTTCTTAAACGATGCACCTCAGTCCTGGAGGCTATAGTAAGAACTGTGCCAGGTCTCCTGCAAGCTGTCTTCCTAATAGCAAAAGTGAAATATTTGTCAGGTAAGGTATACATTAAAAGCTTAAAGGAACTTTATATTCTGATGTTGATTAAAAACAACATAAACAAACTAAGAATTTCACAAATATGGAGAGTTGTAACATAAAATGCACATTTTACATGTGCACAAAAAACTCAGTTTTATCCAAAATAAAATCGTGTAACTTGTGTTACTGTTTAATTCTTTTAAACTTACTATAATCTTTTGTGATTCAAGTGAATAGTTGGGAAAATACAGTTTTAATACTTTACAAAAGTCCATCACAGTGCTGGGGCCTCTCAATGATAATTTACAGACTCATCGGCATAACAAAATGTGTGATGTTTACCAGGTTTCAGGTCCTAATGGAATTTCTTAATTCCTGTTTAGTTTCTGTGACGGGTTACATACAGCAAAAAAAAAAAGGGGGGGGGAAAGGGGGGAACATCTGTAATATTCTCGACAATCAAGATTTTTTAAAAATAATAATTAATTAATAGATAGATACATAGGTAACCAAACAACCAACCTCCATTACTCCATTATAGCCTTAGCTTTTTAGGACACAAACATATGTACGATATATACATAAAAATAGACTATCATGTGGTGCCTATATATGTATCTTTGCTGGTTGAATACTATGCTAAGTAAATTAAGTTTATAAAGTCCTAATGGGCAGAAACCAACTTAATGGTATTCTCATAAACAGTTATATCTTATACATAATGGAAAGAATTAAGAGATTGACTTAACACATTTTTTGAATGACAGTTTTAACTGTTTAAAAAAAAGACCTAGATAATCTCAAAAGCTTGTTTCACCTCTAAAGTACCCTAGTTGTGAGAAGTGACCTTCTTCTGGTTGACTTCTTTTGAGCCACATGATATTTATTTTTTTATTGAATTTATTGGGGTGGCATTGGTTAATAAAATTATAGGTTTCAGGTATACAATTCTACAGTACATCACCTGTATATTGTATTGTGTATTTTCCACCCCAAGCAAGTCTCCTTCCATTACCATTTATCCCTGCTTTCCCTTCTCCTACCTCCCCTATCACATGATGTTTCTATTTTTTCTTCCCAATTACAATGGGTATCATCACATACTAGTTAATTAAACTGGAACTTTGAGTTCAGATTAATTTATTAAACATTTATTATTTATTTTGAAATTTGATATAAATAAGTCTCATTATTGTAATACTTAAATGCCAAAGTCTCTAGGAATAAGTCTCATATATTAACCCATTTTAAAAAGGAGCAGCCTGAAATCATTTAAAATGGTGCTGATGTTGTCAGAATTCAGATTTGTGTGTCTGATGCACAGATAAGCCAAACACTGAGACACTGATGCTCGGAGATAGAGAAAGGTTTATTGGCCAGAGTGAGAGGACAGGAGAGTAAGATCTCTCAAATCTGTCTTCCCCAAAAAGCAAAACTGGGGACCTTTTTTGCAGTGAGGGAGTAAGAGAGAGGGGAGCTTCAGGGAACCGAAGGAGAAGTCTGGTTCTTCAGTCCCCCTCTAATGTGACACCTTGTGTAACCAGACTTTTGGGCAGCAGCAGGTGGTCACAACTTTCTTAAAGGCATTCATTCCTTCTGCAGAACAGTCTCATAAATTCTCCTTGTGACCCTCGATTTATCTCCTGCTTGACAAAGAAACAATACATCGGCAACTTACAATTATATTGTGAGAACAAGGGGTGCTGGGCAGGCAGAGCAGTTGGGGTCTGACTACACTGGCATGTGTCTAAATAGCAGTATTCTTGCTAATTTGCCAACTGCACCAACTACCTGGATCTGGACCAAATTTTACAAGTTAAGGCCATAACCCTCCATCAGAATGCCCTGGTTTAGACCAAAAGAGCCCTCTGCAATTCAGGGCCCTCTGCACTTCTGACTAGCTGGGTCCAAATTTCAGGCTCCCTATTACCCTTCAGGTTTGAGAATTTACCAGAATGACGCATAGAACTCAGGGAAGCACTATACTTTGAATTACAATTTTATTATAACAAAGGGCATTAATTTGAACCAGCAAAAGGAAGAGATGCACAGGGTGAGGTCTGGGTGGGCCCCAAATGTGATGCTCCCATTGTCCCCTTCCTGTGGAGTTGGGACACATTAACTTTCTGCCACAGTGATGTCTGACAGTATCTGCAGTACATTAGCAGCCATGGAAGCTTGCTAAAGGTTCAGTCTCCATAGGGTTTCATTACATAGGTATGGATCAAATCATTGGCTGGCCTCGTGACTGAATTCAATCTCAGTTCCCCCTCTCCCAGTCAGGTTGATATCACAAGGTTCAAAGTCCCAACCCTCTAATCATATGGTGGGTCTTCCTGAGGTGGGCAGCCCCCATCCTGAGCCATACTGTTATCGTAAACTATCAGAGCCCACCACAGATAACAAAGACATTCCTGTTATTTGTGAAACTCCAAGATTTAGAGTCTCCCTCTCAGGAACCTTGGAAAAAGGCCAGCTATATTCTTTATTGTAGGGTATCCTGACAAAAACAGATCATCAGACAGTAAAAGCTTTCATTGTTCCTTCAAGAGAAATTGGACTACTCTTAGATAAGAATGTGATGTTGATGCGATCTTTGTTTATATGGTCTTTTCTTTTTCCCACAACAATGATGACCTATTTCTCTATTTTTAAATACTTCTGAAATAAGTGGCACTTTCTTCCCATTGCCCAAGATTCTTTACTCAGTTATTCATGCATTCCTCATTCAGTCACTGTTTTTGCAACTCCTGATTCTTTTCCATAGACTTTCTCCCCTTGGTAATAATGTCTTATTTCAAGTTACCTCCTTAACCCTCCTCCTTCCTAGAAGAACAGGGGAATGGTAATTCCCATACAAATTCATTTGCTTAAACTTCACATTTCCTTTTTGATCTGTTCTGAGTGTTGGATTGCATCACAATTATGCCAGTCACTGTTTTTGCAACTCCTGATTCTTTTCCATAGACTTTCTCCCCTTGGTAATAATGTCTTATTTCAAGTTACCTCCTTAACCCTCCTCCTTCCTAGAAGAACAGGGGAATGGTAATTCCCATACAAATTCATTTGCTTAAACTTCACATTTCCTTTTTGATCTGTTCCGAGTGTTGGATTGCATCACAATTATGTGATGCAATTGATGTGATTGCATCACAATTATGTGATGCATAATTGTCTGATGGTTAATGGACAAATTTCAACACTATATTTAATAAGTTTTGTGCTACCTCAGCCAAATTTTTGTCTATTAATTCTCTGTCTCTAAGAAAAAATGTTTTCTGTTTAAATGGATTCGTATCATATGGAGGAATTCTGGAGCCCTGGCTAAAGCCTTGTCTGTTGAGGTGTCAGGTAATGTCAGTTGCCCACTGCTAGTATAATAAACTAACTCAAAACTTAATGTCTTAAAACAACTATGTTAATATTTCTTTTTCTAATTTTGTGGATTGACTGGCCTCCACAGGATGCTTATTCAACTCCATGTGACATGAGCTGGGGCTGTATTTGTCTGGGAACTTACAGCGGTTCTCAACCTGTGGGTCGCGAACAATCTAAATACATCCTGCATGTCAGATATTTACATTACGATTCATAACAGTAGCAACATTACAGTTGTGAAGTAGCAACGAAAATAATTTTATGGTTGGGGGTCACCACAACATGAGGAACTGTATTAAAGGGTCGCGGCATTAGGAAGGTTGAGAACCACTGCTCTAGAGTATATCATGCCTTTTTGTAATTTTATGGACGGTGATAAAATTTCTAGATTTTTAAAACTTTTAGTCTAGAATGATAACTAGACTAAATCCTCTTTGTTATTATAGCATTCTACCTATTTAAATTTCTATGTTTTACAGAACTTATTTTAATGAAATTGTAAAATAAAAATTAACAAGGAAAATGAATAAAGGTACATGCATAGGTCTCTCAGTAACAGTGGTGCTTAACTCTGATTTTTTTCATACTTCCTCTGGTTTGCTCCTTATGACCAAGGTGTGGTCTTACAGATGTACAGTACTCTGATTTACATGTAAATTCTTTCATGTGGACCACAAAGAAGAGATTAAATCATGGCCCCTTGAACAGAGGACCTTAAACACTGGAACTATCCACAGATAGTTTTCTACTTTTCTCCCTCTTACTTCTAAGATCTCCAGTTTTTAATCATTTGAATTAAATGGTGTTTTGTGTCCCTCATTAGGTGACATTGAAGCAGCTTATAATAACCTGCAGCATTGCCTGGAACACAATTCTTCTTATGCAGATGCTTACCTCCTGATGGCTCAAGTTTATTTGTCTCAGGATAAATTTAAATTATGTTCTCAGTCTCTTGAACTTTGTCTGAGCTATAACTTTAAGGTAAGTATTCCAGACTCAAATGGATACATATCATATTCCTCATCAACCTCCTGGAATCTTTAGCAAATGTTTGCATATCAACTTTTTAAAAAATTTTAGCCTTTAATATTTTGCTAAGAAATGCATTTTTAAATTAAAAAGATTTTGGATTCATAAGCAGTAGGAGAAGAAATGGAGCAACTGTGTATAGTTAAAAAATTATAGGGACAGGGCAACAAAGACCTGGGGTCAGTGTCTGATGTTTCCACTTATCTCTCTGAACTTGTTTTCTTTTCTATACAACTCATAATAAATACCCTACAGCTATAGTGAATGTTAAATGCAATAATGAAAGTATTAAAAATAATTGTAAACTATAAATATTTTTATGTATTAGGATTTATTTTATTGCCCCTTTCCTTCTTGGACCTTGTTTTTTTTTGTTTTTTGTGTTTTTTTTAAAATATATTTTATTGATATTTTACAGAGAGGAAGGGAGAGGGATAGAGAGTTAGAAACATCAATTAGAGAGAAACATCAATCAGCTGCCTCCTGCACACCTCCTACTGGAGATGTGCCTGCAACCAAGGTACGTGCCCTTGACTGGAATCGAATCTGGGACCCTTCAGTCCACAGGCCGACACTCCATCCCCTGAGCCAAACTGGTTAAGGCTTTGACCTTGTTTAAAAAAAAAAATCCTCACCTGAGGATATGTTTTTACTTATTTTTAGAGAGAGAGAGAGTGAGTGAGAGAGCAACATCTATTGGTTGCCTTCCTTATGCTCATTTATAAGAGGTCGAACCGCAACCTAGGTTGTGCCCTGATGGGGAATCGAACCCACAGTCTTTTGGTGTACAGGGCCTTGGACCTGAATTTTTAATAACTTTTCTCTAGATTTATCATCAACGATGCTTAGTCATTTTGAAACTTAGTATGTGGTTTGAGGATATAAACACACTAGATTACTACCCAAGATACTCTGTGGTCCATATCATATCCCTCAGCGTTAGGGGAAATCCAGGTTCAGGTGCTTCCCGAGCCACCTGGAGTCATGGAGGACCTCCTCAGGTTTTCACTTGGGCCCACAGCTTCTTAGCCCTGTATGTGAGAACCCATTGATGGGCTGGAGAGTTAAAGGTCCAAGCAAGTTTTGCAGGTGATAGCACCTGCTTCCTACGATAGGAGTTCTCAAGACTGGTGGGGCTTTGGAACTCTACCCCAGTCATTGAAAATCTCTAAGACAGTGGTTCTCAACCTTCTGGCCCTTTAAATACAGTTCCTCATGTTGTGACCCAACCATAAAATTGTTTTCGTTGCTACTTCATAACTGTAATGTTGCTACTCTTATGAATCGTAATGTAAATATCTGATATGCAGGATGGTCTTAGGCGACCCCTGTGGAAGGGTCGTTCGACCGCCAAAGGGGTCGCGACTCACAGGTTGAGAACCGCTGCTCTAAGAGAAGAGATAAGAAGGAGTGTTCACACAGAGTTCATAGGTAACTAAGACTTAGAAACACAGCCTTACAGAGTAGTGTAGCTGTCCCAGGCATTAAATGGCTCTACTTCACCTCATTCTGGATTATCTTCTTTGACTCCTTCCTCACTCATTTTTGTCATTTTGTTTTTCTGTATACACTGTTGCTAGCTACAATAAAGACAGAAGCTTTGTTTCATGTTTCTGAGTAGTACCAAATGGTTAAGACCAGTGTTTGATTAACGTATACTAAAATGTTTAATCTTAAAAATAAAGAAAAGAGGGGAAAACTTTGTTTCTAGAAATATGACTTTATATTAGCACCAGAAGTCCCAGATAAAGAAACTCCTTTCCTGAAAACTCAAATTATTTTAGAATATATTTTCTAGCCTTAGTACTTTGTTGCATTTTCTCCTCTATCATAGTAGAAGCACTTAATTACCTGGTTTTTCATCCAGAGGGATGCTAGGCAGTGACAGGCTTCCTGAATTTGATTTAATATAATACTGGATCAGAAAGTTAATAAAAGGACAGAAATAGACCTTATGTATATAATCACAGGCTGTCCTCAAAGATCCTATCATTTTAATGTTTGATGGAATGTAAATTATGTGTTGATGTTGTAAGCACTCCAAGGAAGTATTTCTGAATATTATTTTTTCAGGTGAGAGAAAATCCTTTATATCATTTGATAAAAGCTCAGTCACAAAAGAAAATGGGAGAAATAGGAGAGGCCATTAAAACTCTACATATGGCAATGAGTTTACCAGGAGTGAGGAAAATTGAAGCTTCCTCAAAATCAAAATACAAGAACACTGAAGTTGATGCAAGCCATCGTTTATCAATATTTCTTGAGTTGGTAGAGGTTTACTGCTTAAATGGAGAACAGGTAGGTCAAGTTTTAATTCATTGACTCATATCTGAACTTTTTATTTAAAAAAATGATATATATATATGCATGTAATATATTTATGTTAGTAGGAAATGAAAAAGCTATCCTGACCAAGTAGTAAAATTTAGGAAATTTATTTCTCACTACTTTTCACCAAATCATGTACTTTTTGCAAGCCCCTGTAGTTAGACATAATTTGCACTTGGAAGACATTAAGTATCATTGTACTTAGATTGGCTACCATAGAATGTTACAACATAATATAACGTAATGTGAGTAACAATACAATGTAAAATGACATTATGAAATGTATTAAAATGTATAAGAGTATTATAATGTATGATTACCCCAGTTATAGTTATAATTCTGTGAATTCCTAAAGGCTTCACACATACATGTACACACAAGTACTACTGAAATAAAATGAAAGTACCAACCTGAAATTTTAATACTTGAGGAAACAAAAGAACCAGTGGATAAATAACAACTTTGATAAACTTATAGGACAGCCATAAAATCAAATGCTTTAAAAAATAATAATACAGATGGATGGATGGATGGATGGATGGATAGATGGATGGAAGATAGAAGGTATTTCTGAGAGAATTCAAGAAAATGAAGAACTTAATGTCATTGATACCTGTTTTTTGTATTGCAGCAGTTGCTAATTTATTTTTATATTTCCGTGGAAGTTAAGAAGGCTATCCTATATAATCCTATATAATAAAAGGCTAATATGCAAATTGTCCCCTCAACTGGGTGTTCAACTGGAAGTTTGACCAGGGGGCAGAGCCGGCCAGCCAACTGCCCGCAGCTCCTCCCCCTGGCTGGCCCCGCCCCCAATCGGCTGTTCCACCAACCACCTGCGGACCCTCTCCCTGGCCAGCCCAGCCCAATTGACCCTGATTGGGGCGGGCTGGCTGAACCCCACCCATGCATGAATTCGTGCACTGAGCCTCTAGTCTATATATAAAAGGCTAATATGCTAGGTGTTCGACTAGTAGCCTTGATGCACACTGACCACCAGGGGGCAGATGCTCAGCTCACAGACATGGAAACATGGAACAAACTGATGAATCTCAGAGGGGAGGGAGAAGTGGAGACGGGAAGAGATTAACCAAAGATCTTATATGCATACTAGAGGCCTGGTGCATGGATATGTGCACCGGTGGGGTCCCTCATCCTGGCCTGTGGGGATCGGGTCAAATCCCTGCACTGGACCTCTGACATCCCCCAAGGGGTCCTGGATTGTGAGAGGGCGCAGACCAGGCTGAGGGACCCCACCGGTACATGAATCCGTGCACCGAGCCTCTAGTGTCTAGATAATTGCCAAGTCTCAACTTCTCTTTCACTAGTAAATGAACATAAAATGCATTTAAATAAAAAGAACCAGTTGCCATGCATAAATAATTGATTCTAAGATGTGCTAGTTTTTTCACATCTTAACATTTCTGAAATCCGAATGTTCTATAATACTTAAAGTTGAAATGGATTTTAAATGACATTTGAGATGAATCTTAAATAACATTTTAGATTCATTGAAGTACAGATTTGGAAATGAAGTAATATGTTCACCTGAGGTATAAGAAAAATGATGTCCTGATATAGATAATAAAGGAGTCTGCTAGTTAATGAGGAGCCATTGGGTTCAGTGGGTGACCAGACTAGATCGCATTAGTGAGGTAATAATGAACATGGCTAACATTTAGGCTTTGGAGTCAGGCTGCCTGATCTTGAATTCTGGTCTATCATTTGTTAACTTCTTAACTCTCTAAATCTCAATTTCCTTACTGCAGGGAAGGAGTAATAATAGTAACTACCTTACTGGTTGTTTGTGAGAATTAGATAGGTTAATACAATGCTGGGTGCAAAGTAAATGCTTATCTATAATAATAAAAGTTTAATATGCTAATTATTCCGGACAGCCAAACAACCTTCTGGATGCCATTCCAGACGTCCTTCTGAATGAAGCTGCTGCAGCGGGGGCCGAAGCAGAGGTGGTTAGGGGCGATTGGACAGGCAGGCGAGCCGTTAGGGGTGATCAGGCAGTCAGGCAAACAGTTAGGGGCAATCAGGCAGGCAAGTGAGTGGTTAGGGGCAGGCAGGCAGAGTGGTTAGGGGTGATCAGGCAGGCAGGTGAGTAGTTAGGATCCAGTGGTCCTGGATTGCAAGAGGGATGTCTGACTGCCTGTTTAGGCCCTATCTTGGGATCAGGCCTAAATAGGCAGTTGGACATCCCCTGAGGGGTCCCGGATTGTGGGAGAGTACAGGCCAGGCTGAAGGCCCCCACCCCTTCCCCTGTGCACAAATTTTGTGCACCGGGCCTCTAGTTAAATTATAGTAGTGGTGTCTCTTGTGTAGCAACTGCTGTTGTCTCAGTTATGTAAACACTTGTCAGCTAACCAGTGTTTATAGTGTTACCTGAATTTGGTTTCTGCATTTAGTTTTAAATTTTTGTGCTTTTTAAAAATCCATCAGTATTTCATGAATATCCTAATTGTGCTAGCATTTTTTGTTCATTGTTTTCATAGAAAATCCTCATTTCTAGTATAATTTGTTGAATATTTTGAATGTTATTTTTATTTTGTCATTACAGCATGAGGCAGCAAAAGTGTTACAAGATGCTACCCATGAATTTTCTGGGACATATGAAGAATTACGTGTTACCATTGCTAATGCAGACCTAGCTCTGGCCCAAGGAGATGTTGAACGGGCTTTAAGCATGCTTCAGAATGTTACATCCGAACAGCCTTATTTCATAGAGGTCAAAGAAAAAATGGCAGATATATACCTGAAGCATAGAAAAGAGAAAATGTTATATATCACTTGCTATAGGTAAATGGTTATTTTAATGCATTTACCTCCTAAAATTAATTCCCAAACTTGTTTTACTTCTCTTTTAAGTGTGTGTGCATGTGTGTAGATACTTTATAGATCCTTGCCTTCATGTTCTCACTTCCTTCTCCTACCATCAACCACAGTCACTCTAGCCAAGCTACTCTCTCAAAAACATACAGCATAATACTTACGATTACTTCAACCTGTGGCTCATTCTGGTTTCTCAGTTCTCCTCCCTCATCAGATGTTACTTTTAGACATCTTTCTGTTGGGGGAAGGGAATGAACAACAGTTATATGTATTAATTATTTAAGACAATTATGTAATGTAACATCAATTCAGGGGCTAGATGGTCATGTTTAATTCCTTAATATAATAGACTAGAGAGCCGATGCATGAAATTCATGCCAGAGGCTCAGCCCTCGCAGCCGAGGCGGCTTGCCTTGGCCCTCGCAGCCCCAGCTTCGTCCAGAAGGTCATTTGGCTGTCCAATCTAATTAGCATATTATGCTTTTATTATTATAGATACAGAAAAAGAATTATGGCTTAGTTTATACTACACTAAGGTATGGATTACAAATGTTCCTTGGTGAAAGGACAGGGACTTTAAAAGTTATATTGTGGCCCTGGCTCAGGTTGTTGAATGTCATCCCATGCGCCAAAAGATGACAGGTTTGATTCCCGGTCAGAGCACATACTCAGGTTTTGGGTTCAATTCCCTAGTCGGGGCAGGTGTGGGAGGCAAACAATCAATGTTTCTCTCTCACATTGATGTCTCTCTCTCTCTCCCTTCCTCTCTCTCTCAAATCGATAAAAATAAATTAATTAAAAGTTATATTCTGATGCCCTTAGGAGTTATTGGGATACACAACACATACACATGGACATATACACACTCTTTTTTATTGTCTCTTTAGATCCTTTTATTTTTTTAAATTAAATCTTTATTGTTGAAAGTATTGACATGTCCCCCTCGCTCCCCCATTGATCCTTTCTAGCCTGCCCCCATTCCTCCTCCCATGCTTAGATTCTTTGTAGGTGCTGTGTGATTCAAAGAAAGGGAGCAGTACCCCAATATAGATAGATGAACTAAAGTTTCTACATCACATTTCCTAAAGATGAGCACTAACTATCATCTCTAATGGTGAAAGTATTTCCAAATAGAATTGATTTGTTTGAATGCAGTATAATATAACAGTTAAAAGCAGAGGTTTCTGTTTCAGGCAGATCTGACACATTAGGTATAGACAAATTCAGCATCATCTATAAAATCAAAATAATAATTCTCTTTCTCATAAGAGTTTTTGACCAATTACTAGTAAATGAGATACTATATGTTAAAGTCTTAATATCACATTCTTATTTGAGTAACTGGTATTTTGACTTTTACTAGTTAAATTTTGCAGGTAAAAAATAAACAGGAAATACTGAAGTAGAAGACTGGATATTTTTTAAAGTAACTCATTTGAGCACATGATTAATGCCATGAATACCAGAGCTCAAGATACCTAGGAGAATAAGTGGTGTGTCTCCCCTCCCCCCCTCCGGGTTCCATCCTTTTTGGTACCTTTACTTCCATGTCATTTCAAAATTAAACATAACAAAATATATTTCTGGATACAATTTATCCACCTGTACTCTTGTTTCCTGCATTTCAGAAAATGCAAAGACTTAATTAAAAAAATGATTGCCCTAGCATAAACAGCCTGGTTATGGTATGGTGGTTTTGTTTTTTGTTTGTGTTTTTCACAGTGTTACACTGTTGGATATGTAGAAAGTACTCTGAAGGTTATTGGGTAATTGAAATAAATGTGCTTACCTTTTAGAAGAAGATTTTTGTATTCAATATACTAAATAGTGTTGGTCTGATTTCCAGAGAAATTGCTGAAATAATGCCTAGCCCTCATTCTTTCCTTCTCCTTGGAGATGCATACATGAATATTCAAGAGGTAAATTTCTGATGCTACTGAACTTAGACTTTTAAAAAATCTTTGTGATTAGTATAGCATCCCAAATTAAAAGGAATTTGGTTTTCTAAATAATGTTTACTTAATATTCAAGATTCAGTCATCACAATGAAAGGAGACAACCATTATAATAAAAGCATGCTTTTCTTTTCAAATTGCGATCCAATAATTCGACACTATCATTATTTAAAATAGAGATGGTATCAGAAGCAAGAGGCTCCTTTAAACAAAAGAATAAAGAGAACTATTAGCTATGTGGTGTTTTCTTCAAAGGGAAGCAGTCCTCTGACTCTATCTGGCTTTTGTGATGACTGCCAGAAATGAAAAGTCAAGAACTTTTCTCTTCTCAGATTATTATTTATGAAGGCAAGAGACAATTAACATGGATGGGAATATACTGATAAGTTATACCTATACTGGTGACTGTCACCTTTCTGAAATTATTAAGGTTTCTAGACTTAAATACATGCTTTATTAATCTTATTAAATATTCCAAATGAAAAACATAATTATATAAATGTTGCCATTAGTGGAATCCAGCCAAGCTCTTTATCTATTGCCTATTTTTTGTGTCTGTCAACATTAGCCTGAAGAAGCCATAGTAGCATATGAACAAGCATTAAATCAGAACCCAAAAGATGGAACACTGGCAAGCAAAGTTGGGAAGGCACTTGTGAAAACTCATAACTATTCAAAGGCAAGTATACTTTATAGTTTAAAATATATTTATTGGGTCAAATTTTTCAAAGTCTGCTCTATGATAGGCCTTCAGCAAACACCGTTTGTATCTTGATGGTTGTAAAACTCGAAATTTGTGTCCACGAGCTGGAATTTGTGCGAAAGGCTTTCTCTTGTCTCAAATTCTTGTTCACTGCATTTTGCAAAGACTGTTTGGACTAAAGTTTACTTCAGGCCTCATCTTACACCTAAATTCTTAATCACTAAACCAGTTGCTATTAACATCTCTTTCATTATATGTCAAAGCATAATAGATGTCCTTTCTCTGGAATGAATTTTGGTAAGCTATGTGCTTTGAGGGGTGGGTTTGGTTTTTGTTAGTTTGTTTGCCTCTTAGAGAAAATGGATATTCTTTAGTTGTATTTTTGCTCTATTCCTGGTAACTGTTGAACATTTATATAACAGCTAGCAAAGTATTTGCATTTGATAAAGTTCACTGGCTTCTGGAATGAAACCATTATTTTTTTTTTTTTTCACCAAGCACTCTGTTAATAAGCTACTTATACAAGAAATGCTAGTTGCCTTCTGTGATGTTTGATTCTCTGAGGAAAATGGCATAGTTAACTGGTAGTGCAGATACATGCCTAAGCTTCTCCTTGGTTGTTTTCAGTTATGTGTATGTTTTAAATCTGTGTGTAAGTTACCTATGCTTGAATGCCATTCTCATTGCCTCTTTCTTCCTAACCAAAATGGATTTTGTTTAGGCAATCACTTACTATGAAGCTGCACTGAAAAATGGACAAAATTATCTTTGCTATGACCTGGCAGAGTTTTTATTAAAATTGAAATGGTATGACAAAGCAGAAAAAGTCCTTCAACATGCTCTAGCTCATGAACTTGGTATGAAAATATTCCTGATTTGAAAAAAAGTACACCGATATACCTTATCTTTTTTGTTTTTGTATTATATAAATGTGTATTTGTATTCCCAGTATTTTATATGTGAAGTTGTTTATTTCATTGATCTGAATATCACTATTAAAATAAGACATTTGAAAAATCTATAACAGATTTATGAAACAGTTAATTGTGTTACAGAAAGATACTTCCCAAAATGATGTAAAGGAAAGTTCTTTTAAATTGCATCTATGTCTGTTGTTTAAACAAATAAACATTTTTATTATAAGTTTTTAAAAAATGTATTTTGATTTCAGAGAGGAAGAGAGAAAGAGAGAGAAACAGAAACATCAATAATGTAACATTAAAGAAATAATTTAAATAAACCACTTTAAACAGACTAGCACAGACCATGTACTTCTTAAATGGTGGAAGAAACATATTTCTGTTAATTATTTAGGGTTCTTTTACTACTCTTAGATCACAAAGTAATAATACTAAATATTTAAATCGCACTTAACCACATGCCACACTTTATTTTAATTGCTTTGTATATGGTAACTTACTTTGTACTTATTAACTTTAAATATTATACGAAAACCCTATGAAATAGGTACTATTATTTCCCCTCTTTTACACATGGAAGGGAGGCACAGAATAGTTAAGTACTTGTTCAAGGTTATATAGCTAATAAATGATGAAGCCTAAATTTGAAACCAGACTGGTTGGCATCACAATTGGTGTTCTTACTGGTTACGATTCATAGCCTATCAAATAATCTATTATTTTAAAAAACAGCACTTCATTACATGCAGCAGATATTCTATCTTATCTTTTAACTAGAGGCCTGGTGCATGAAATTCATGCACAGAGGGGTGTCCCTCAGCCCAGCCTGCACCCTCTCACAATCCGGGACTGCTGGCTCCTAACCACTCCCCTGCCTGCCTGCCTGATTGCCCCTAACCACTTCTGCCTGCCAGCCTGATTGCCCCCTAACTGCTCCCCTGCCAGCCTGATTGATGCCTAATGCTCCCCTGCCAGCCTGGTCACCCCCAACTGCCCTCTCCTGCTAGCCTGGTTGCCCCAACTGCTCTCCCCTGCCGACCATCTGTGGCAGCCATTTTGTGATGATGTGGGGGCGTCACGTGAGGGTGCGAGGGCCACCTAGGCTTTTATTAGTATAGATGACTTCAATAAGCAGAAATTTTATATATTTAAGAACAAAAATTGAAATTATTAACTAAGTTATTACATTGTTATTTCTAAATATATGTCTTAAGAAAAACCTCCAGTTTTTACCCAGTTCTTTATTTTTTTCTTCCAAGCTATTTGTATCTTTAAAAAAACAAAACAAAAACCAAGCATGGCCATTCCTCAGTTAACTGACTGAAAAATTTTTAACTTTATTCACTATTTTTCAAAACCATTCTTTCCAAAGACCATTTTTTAAACTGGTTGAAAAATGTAAGCATTTGTTTAAAATTAATATTTCCCCCCAATGTATTCACTTCTTTCATAGTAAATGAATTGTCTGCTCTCATGGAAGATGGACGTTTGCAAGTTCTTCTAGCAAAAGTTTACAGTAAAATGGAAAGACCTGGTGATGCAATCACTTCATTACAACAGGTAAATGCATTTGTTAGTGAGGGTGGTTGTAGGTGGAGGATGGATGTAGAAGGAAATATGCCACATGTAAGAGTAAACCAATCTCTTTTGACCCATCATTCACAGAAAATAAGTCAAACTGGAAATGATTGAATGCCTGTGGATTATACAGTTTAAATATATTATTGCTAATTATTATAACAAATAGGGAAGTTGATTTTTTAATTCTGTTTTACAGCTGAGGAAGTTTGGTTTATAGCTTTTGTGAAGTCATATGATAGGTGGGATTTGACATGAATTTTTTTTCTTCCTTTATTTATATCTTCTTTAATTTATTTTATTATTTTGTTGTTTACACTGTAGAGGTTTTGCACATTTTTCCTTTGAACTATTCCCTAAGTAGCTGATATTTTTAATGATTTTTCCATTTCTAGTTTGCTAACAATTTTTTATAAATTAAATTTTATCATAAATCACTTTCTACATCTATCAGGATACTCATGTGACTTTTCTCCTATTTTTTTTCTGTAAATGTGATATATAAAATTGATTTTCAGATGTTAAATCACCGTAATAGCCCTAAAATATGTCATTTTTTGTAGTTTTTTTAAAACAATAACTGGAATTTAAAGATATTAGCTAGTATTTTGTTCAAGATTTGTATATCTATGTTCATGAAAGATATTGATCTATAGACTGATGCTATTTTTTTTAACATTTGGAACAATTTGATATTAAAACCATTGGGACTTCAAGGCTTCTTGATGGAAGATTTTTATTAATGGATTCAACATCTATAATGGATCTTAGAGTGATCATTTTAAAATTTCACTTATGTTGGTTTAGATGGCTATTTTTAAGCAATTTTTTATTTCATTAAATTGTCAAATTAATTGACATATTTGTTCATTATATCTTAACCGTTGAAAATCTGGAAATACTGTAGAAATATCTTCTTTTATAGTCCTGATATTGGACATTTTCCTTCTGTTATTAATGATCAGTTATGCCAGGGGCTTATTATAATAATATTAGAGGCTCGGTGCACGACATTTGTGCACTGGGGGAGAGGTGTCCCTCTGCCCAGCCTGCACCCTCTTCAATCTGGGACCCCTTGGGGGATGTCCAACTGCTGGACTGGCAGTTGGACATCCCTCTCACAATCCGGGACTGCTGGTTCCCAACTGCTCACCTGCCTGATTGCCCCTACCGCTTCTGCCTGCTAGCCTGATCACCCCCTAACCACTCCCCTGCCAGCCTGATTGACGCCTGTCTGCTCCCCTGCCAGCCCAGTTGCCCCCAACTGCCCTCCCCTGCAGCCATTTTGTGGCTGTAGGCACCACCGTCTTTGAGGACGGGGCAGTCAATTAGCATATTCCCTCTTATTGGCTGTGGGTGCTGCCATCTTTGTGACAGCATGAGGGTCAATTAGCATATTCCCTCTTTATTAGATAGGATTCTCAGAGAACCAACTTTTTCCTTTTCTGGCTTGATGAAATGTTTGCTTTTTTACCTCACTAAATAGTTTTCTCTACTATCTTTGGGTATGATGCACTAATCTTTTTCTAGACTAATGAAATACTCCATTAGGTAGTAACATAGGCTGGGTTAGCTTTTGTTCTTTTCTTATTTATTTAAGGTAATAAATTTATCTCTAAGCATTGCTTTAGATACACCCCACAAGTTTATTATTATTCAGTTTATAATATTTCCTTACTTCTACTTTGATCACTTCTTTGACCCATGGGTTATTTATAAGTATAGTGTTTATCCAGGGATCTCACTTCTAGGAACATATCCTAAGAAGACTGAAACACTAATAAAAAAGAATATATGCACCCATGTGCTCATAGCAGCATTATTTACAATAACTAAGATGTGGGAAGAGCCCAAGTGCCCATCAGTAAATGTGTGGATAAAAAAAGCTGTGGTACATTTACACAATGGAATAGTATGCAGTAGTAAAAAAACAGGATCTCTTACTCTTTGAGAAAACATGGAAGGACCTGGAGAATATTATGCTAAGCAAAACAAGCCAGTCAGAGAAAGACAAACCTCACATGATTTTACTTATATGTGGAATCCAATGAACAAAATAAACTGATGAATAAAATAGATCCAGAGACATGGAAGCATGCAACCGACTGAAGATTCTAAGAGGAAAAGGGGGTTGGGTGGGTGGAAAGAGGTTAACCAAGGATCTTATATGCATACTAGAGGCCCAGTGCATGACATTTGTGCACTTGGGAAGTGGGGGATACCTCAGCCTGGCCTGCCACCTTTCACAGTCCAGGAGCCCTCAGGGGATGTCCAACTGACAGCTTAGGCCCACTCCCCGGTGTTAAGCGTCTGCTCCTGTGTTAAGCGTCTGCCCCCTGGTGGTCAGTGCATGTCATAGTGACTGGTCATTCCACCATTCAATTGATTTGCATATTACCCTTTTATTATAAAGGATATACATAATCCATGGACACAGACAATAGTGAGGTGGAGGGCTGAGGAGGGGATAGGAATGAGAAGGAGGGGATCAATGGGGGAGGGGTGAAGGGAACATCTGTAATACTTCCAACCATAAAGATAAATTTTAAAAAATTTAAAGTGATAACTATTGCATATGGAAATAACATAGTAAGCACTTAATATATGGCAGTTATTTTTCACAGCATATAGTTATAAATATGGTTTGAAGTAAAATCTGTTTATGTATAAAAAATAAAAATAATAGTGCTCAATTTTCAGGCAGTTCCATTTTTTGTTGTTATCTTTTTATAATTATTTCTAGTTTAATTTCGCTGTGGTCAGACACGGTTTGAATGATTCAGCCCTTTGACATTTGTTAAAGCTTGCTTTATGCCCTACATTGTAATCAATTTTGGTACAGTTTCCATGTGGATCTTAAATAATGTTGTTGACTGGGTCATTTGTTCATTGATTTGCCCCACATCTTTGCTGAGCTTGAAGTAGAACATAGAGCATCTCACTATTTTTGCTTTTTAGAATACCACTCGTTTGACCTCATTTTCATGTACCCAGAAGAGTTTTGCATTCTGTGCAACTTATTTATCAAATGTTTTGGTTTTGAGCTTTAGCTAACAGAAGTTCTAATTCTTTAATTGCAGGAAAATTCTAGGGGAAATCACTTTTTAGCAAATTATCTTCTCTGTGAAAAACATCTAAGTAAATCAGAAATAAAGAATCTATATGCCATAAAACACTTAACAATTTTATAATTTTATAAAATTTTAATTGATAAGTACAGACTTATATTTTGTTATGCTTCTTTCACTTAATATTCATTTCTGTGGATTTTACCAGCATGTCTTTGTAGCTACAACTCCATCATATAAAAGTAAAATTTCATGAAAGTCTTAACCTTCACCAAATGCTGTATCTAATAATATTCTCAAATCCTTTCTCTTTCATTTCCAGAAAGATGCTTATTATAATGTCCTAAGTTAATGTTAGGACCTGTGATTCCAAAACATACTCAGCTTTAGACCAGCTTCATTAAACACCAGTTGTCAACCAGCATTTTGACAGGGGTCTCCAAAAGGGCTCCCTGTGTGTAGCATAATGTGTGGCAGATGGTGAACATTCACTGTTTGTTACATGAACACATGAATGCATTAGTGAATGATTAGCTCAAAGTTAAATTTTATTGTGCAGGCTTAAAGCACAGGAGTTCTCTGTCACTTATTAAAGGAAGGTCTCAGTGTGTCAGGAAACAGATCTGTGGGTGGAAAGGCTAATGTTCTTCTAATTTAGCAACCTTCTCTACATTCTTATCCTGAGGAAGACCCCAGCCTTCCTTCTGGTTGTTTGTGAACAGTGTAGGACCATATGTATGTATACACCAAAAATTGATTAGCCATTTTCCATTCTTAGACATTGGGCTATTTCAGAGATTTTTTTGTTTTACTTTTGCTGTTTCTTCGTTTTTACAACAAATAACAGAATGCTTTTTTTTTTTCTTTATAACAAATAACATGTTTTAAGTCATTTCCTCAATACCTTTCAAAGAGTGGAACATTTTTTCCAAAAGTTGGTTTTATGGTTGTATTGTTCCCTAGTGAGCTTCCTGCACATATCCTTATAACAGTGGGAAAGACTCAGTAATTTTTAGTACTTCAGTTGAAAAGTATAGGCATGCTGGCTCATTTGTGAACAAGTGCATGTTTAAGACCTCAACTAAGATATTTTCTTTGGGTCAGGATTTGTTAGCTCAAGGGCCAATAATGCTTTAATAAATCTTCTGTAAAGTTTATTGTGTGTTCATATTGAGAATTTGTTAGTTTCTACTTCTTTTTTTAAAAAAATCCTTTTTATCCTTATTTTTTCCTAGGCTCGAGAATTACAAGCTCGGGTACTAAAACGTGTTCAGATGGAACAACCAGATGCAGTTCCTGCACAGAAACATTTAGCAGCTGAAATTTGTGCAGAGATTGCAAAACATTCTGTTGCTCAGCGAGATTATGAAAAAGCAATTAAGTTTTATAGAGAAGCGCTTGTTCATTGTGAAACAGATAATAAGGTCAGAACCTTCATGAAAGTTTAAGCACCTTTTATTCCAGATGTCATCTAATTTCTCCAAATGTAAAATTCGTATCAGTTTATTAAAAAAAATTTTAAAAAAATATAACAAAAATACAAGTTAAAAATTAATACTGTGTCTAGAAATCCTTCAAAATAGTTATGCCTTTAATAATATTAGAATCTAAAAATTATGATGGAATAAGTGACAAAGTAAACCTGTAAGCTCTCTGATGTTCAATATTCATTTGTGTTTTAGTAATTACTTTAAAACAATTTCTCAGTCTCAAATAAATATCTGGCTCTAGATGACTCAATTCAGCTTACTACACAGCCCTTGTACACCTCTTTTTAAATTACTGGATATGCAGAAATGACTAGATTGAATCTCTTAACTCAAATGGCACAGTTTGGGAGTAAATGTAAAGGTAATTTTGATGTAGAAATCATATACTGTATAAACTGAATGTGTAATTTCTCAGGTGTTGATAGATGATTAAAATTTTTTTCTTAGAAATCTCTAAAAATAGCTAAATACTTAAATAAGTGATGTATAACAAAAGGCAATCGTATTCTAGAATATAAAGTTTAGGATTGAGCATTTTGAAGTTAATACAATTCTTTCAGATATAAGGCAAAAATAATCGTTTTTAAGGCATTACCAAATAGGCACATGGTTCCGTGATGGCTGAAGAAGCTATAATTCTAGTATCAGTATAAAGCATACCTTGGGAATTGTCTGTTTCAGGCTTTTTATTTTACAAATGAGAAAACAGGTTCTGAGAGGTAAGAGAGACTTGGCCCCATCATGGGAAATCTTGGACCAGAATCTAATTTCCCGATTTAAGCCAGTATTCTTTTCACAATGTTTTGTGTCTCTCTACTTTTCAAGTGAGTTACCACCCATTTTTCCTTTTTTTCCCCCCTCAGGTATAAGAGAAAAGAAAGATGAGCGTGCCTATAGTTTTCCTATCTATCATGCTTGGCATTTTTATTCCGATAACTTTGATCAGCTAAAGGTTAATCTGTGTGCAGACAGTTTCCTCAGGCACTGTTTCTTCCAGTCTCTCACTGATCGTGCCCTGATTGTCCATAGATAATATTGGAGCTGGCACGATTATACCTGGCACACGATGATCCTGAGGCCTGCCTGCGGCACTGTGCCCTACTTCTCCAGAGTGACCAGGACAATGAGGCTGCCACCATGGTTAGTCCCAGAGTCTTCAGTTCTGTAAAGGCGGCTGTTTTAGGATCCACGGGGGAGTGTCACCCTTTACCCATAAAACTAATGCTAAATGAGAGGTCTGCCTCGTGTGGGCTTTTGGAAGAAATAACATTTTTAACATTTTACCAAAGAAGACTAAGATTCTTTTTTTATTTTATAAGAACGGTAAACCTGTTTTTCTAAATAAGGCCTGATTTGCTGTCTTGGGCCTAGTTAAATTTTCTTTATGCGTAAGAGTATGTGTGATCAGTCATGCGGTAAAGTCATAATTTGCTAAAGACTGACTTTTAAGTACTCAGACATGCTGGACTAATTTATAAGTTGCAGTGGGACTTTTGGAGTTACAGAAAAAACTTCCTTTATTATTTTAAGATGGTGAGTTTTAAACAGAACTTTTTTTTGTTTTCATTTTTACTGGGGCTGAGGTATTTGTTAGCTTTTCAAACAGCTATATAGAGGACAGTTTGTGAGGTTTATTCAAGGTTACTACAAATGTAAGAAGTCTCCCTTTAAAACATATAAGGAAATCTCAATAGGTCTTGCTTATTTGAAATTCCTTTGAAATAATTAAGAATTTAAGTGTTGCTGTTTTTTTGATCTTGTCATTTTAACAAGCCCAATGAGGCATCTTTCTATGATGGCACATAGAGTGTGCAATTTCCTAAAATTTCTGCTTTTAAAATAACCACTTGAAACATTTTTCTGCTAAAATTCAGTTTGCGAACAGAGAATTCTGTTCACATCCTGATAACCTTCTGTTACACTGATCTCGGGGCTAATCTGTGTCAGGGGCTCCTTTTCTGTAAAACTTCCCTCCTGTTTTCCAATGTGTCCTCCTAGTGCTAAGTCTTGATGGGAGGAATATGCTTTGTAAAATATATGGCAATATTTTTAGATCCAACTTTTACTTTTATAGATGATGGCAGATCTCATGTTCAGGAAGCAGGACTATGAACAAGCAGTGTTTCATTTACAACAGCTTTTAGAACGCAAGCCAGGTAAATATTCACTGATTGTATTGGCTAATGCACTCAACTCCTTTTCTCCTCTTGGCTGTTATGCCATTTCTGCCTTGGGTTCCAGACTCTGTTTTATCCCTTTCTCCTTTTCTGAATGACCACTTAAGATAGTGCACATAATATTTTCATTCTTTCTGTTTTAAGCTGTTCCCATCCTATCGAATAAAGAGGTAATTGACCATCACTCCAATACACAAGATGGCCGCCCCCATATGGACACAAGGCCTGCAGGGGGGAGGGCGGGACCCAGGCCTGCAGGGGAGGGCAGTTGGGGGGACCCAGGACTGCAAGGGAGGGCAGTTGGGAGGGGGGACCAGGCCTGCAGGG